ACATACAACACCATTTTCAACAAGGATTGTTGAGGTGTGCTTGAGGGGTTGAGGGATTGTTGAGGGATTGAGGGTTGATGAAAAGGCTCACTGCTGCCATTTCTTGGGAGTTTACTTCTTTCCTTTGCATCGAGTTGCCTTTTTGGTAGATCAAACACAGATAGTAGATCGAAGGAGCTCTTGAGTGAACCACTGCCAGCATCAAAAGTATGTTTGGCCATGATGATACTTTGGAGTGCTTCATGGTTTCCAACGCGAAACTGAGCCATGATGAGATTGAGTGTTCTAAGGAACTTGGTCGCTGGGTTTTGTGTGAGCTGCATTTTGGAAAGTGTGGTATCGCCCCTTCCCACACCTTGTCATGGCAGGCCTTCACACTGGCATGCGCCCGAGCTTCCTTGGCCACCCTGGTTGGAAAACAACCTTCAGAGCTTGCTGGCGACATCACAGTCGACAGCATTGCGCCAAATCATGGGAAAGGGCGCTTTGATATCCTGGACTTGAGGGGCACAACACGCGAAGAGATCTTGGCAAGGGAATTCCGCGTTGCCCACAGCATGCTCACTGCCAGCAACCTCATGTGTGAAAACTTCAACTGGCTTCAAGACGTTGTCGAAGACATTGAGATGCTTCACATAGATTTGACAGGTTTTGTCATCCAATAGAAGCACCGATATGATGCGACGCAGCGAGCAAAAAGGAGATACTCATATGCGGAACTCAGCATTCATCACGTGCCACTTGTGTTTGTTAGCTATGACAAATCAAAGCATCAAACAACAACGCGCCAAACAGAAACAAGTCTTCTTCTACATGACTTTCTTCAAGGCAGCATGTTCTTCAGTTCTTCCTCTTTGGAGTGGTGTTGAGGGAAACTTGTTGAGAGATGATGCGTCGTTTCTCCTTCTTGTTCTCCTTCTTCCCCTATTATTAGACGAATAGAAACTCACAAAAGGGTACCAAGAAAACGCACAAAAACATGACATGGAAACTAGAAGTTTTGCAGTTTTGCAAGTAGAAGTTTACTAGAAGTTTGCTAGAAGTTTTCGACGTTAAAAATAGACGAATACGTTAAAAAATAGTCGAAAAAATTAACGAAATTTCGATAAAAATAGACGAATTTTTTAACGTAAAAATAGACGAAAAAATTATCGTATTTTGGAAAATACGTTAAAAAAATTATCGAAATTTCGATAATTTTTATCGTAAAATACGTTAAAAGTTAAAAGTTAAAAGTTAAAAGTTAAACGTCTATTTTTGAAAATAGACGTTCTCAGTCTATTGGGCGGGAGCTGCAGAAAGGGTCGCGATTGTCCTTTCTCGCACGACAAAGAGCTGCGTAGGAAGGAGCTTGAAAAGAAAGGCAAAGGGAAAGGGTCCGACTCCTATCCGGCGAAAGGCGACGGAAAAGGAGGTAAAGGGAAAGGCAAAGGAGGGAAGGGCAAGGCTGGAGACGCTAAGAAAAAGAAGAGCGAGAAGCAGCGCCCTTACTTTGCCAAGAACGGCGCGTGCAAGAAAGGCGCTGACTGTGACATGTCGCATGTTTTGGCAACCGATGTCGGTGCTACGGGCTCGGGAGGTGGACAAGGTTCCGCTCCAAGTGGGTGGGCAGCTCCAAGCGGGAATAGCGTGCTCAATCCGGGACTTGTTCTTGCGGAGCTGTCGACACCGTCTTCGTGAGCCAGACGGCTGGCCTTGAGCCGGACACCTGCCAGGAATGCGGATTGGAACAGCCCAGCCTCATTGGTTCAGTCTGCTATTCGTGCGGTCGGAAGGGAGAGATCAAGAGCACTCCACTCCAGGGGTGCAAGTGTCGCGCGAAAACACCTAGGAAGGCGCGTGAGTCAAGGAAGGGATATGGAGTGTTCGCCACGTTCGCGGTTGGTCTAGCTGCGCTCACTGCGGCGTACGCATTTGACCCGTCGCAATATGAGTCAAAGAGCTGGTCGCGGGCGGGGGCCTCGTTTTCGAGCCTTCGTCGCGAAGAATCGCGGGCGAGGACTTCGTTTTCGAATCCTCGTCGCGAGGAAGTGTGGGCCACCTTCCCCGGTGGTTGGGTGCGAACGCACCCGGAGGCCCGGGAGAAGCTGTTTGAGTTTAGTGAAGAAGCGTCGGCCCCACTCACGCTGAATGTCGACCAGCTGGATTCTCGAAGGGTCACGACAGGTCAGTTTTTGGATGGAGAGTCTCTCTTTTGGGAAGACTCGTGGCGTGAAGGCGACCCGTGGGTCTTTAAGGGACGTCCATGGGTAGGAGAAACCCGTTTCTACGCGGTGGGTCATGGTTCTGAAGGCTCTTGGAGGAGCACCATGACCGAGCCAGTGTTTCACATAGTGGAGGCGCCAGGCGGAATCGACAAAATGGCAGAGGAAACGCCAACGGAGCGCTACTACGATGCGCTCAGGAGGTCTCTGGAGAAGCGTTTTCCCAAGGCCAACCAATTCCTCCTGGATCACCTGATTTCGCTTGAAGCATTTTTGGACAAGTCGATCGTTTTTGGTTTCAGCTACGGGGTGGCTAAGGCGGAGATCTGCAAGGAAGGTGGCAAGCTGTTGGGACACATCGTTGGGAGGAATGGAAGCGAACCAGACCCTGAGCGAGCTAAGGCCGTAATGGACTTTGCACCGCTCAGAGAGAAACTCCATATCCAGCAATTTCTTGGATGCTCCAACTGGTTGCGCATGTACCTCCCCGCGGAGTACGGTGTTTGTTCCAAAATTTTGACTGGCTACCAACGGCCAGATGCGACCTTCCCACCTGAAGGGCTCGGATATGGCAGCACAGAAGGCTGCAAGGCTGTTCGGGCCATCAAGCGCATGTTGGCTAAGTCAATCAGCTTAGCTATGATTGACGAGGCCAGCGCCATCTCCGGAGCTTGTCCGCTTGAGCAGGTGGCCGATGCCAGCGGGTTTGCAGTCGGTGGTACTGTGGTCCAGATGACCAGAGACCACACGAGGCTGAAGGTGCTCCTCACGCACAGCAAAAGCCTCACGCCGCCGCAGCAAGCATGGCCGCCTCTAGTTCAGGAGGCCTTCGCTCAATTGGAGGTGAAAAGAGCCACAAGGAAAACATTTGGAACGATTCGAACCTTATGTTGGACAGATCACGCGAATCTGACAAAGGCCCAACACATCGATGTGGGGGCGGACGTGAAGCTAGTCAGATGGGTGGCTGAAATCCTTGCAGATGGGTCCGAAATTAGGTCACTGAGCGGCCGGAGCGCTAAGCTCGGGGATGGGTTTTCGCGAAACCCTCGAGATAGGGACGAGCTGCTCGAAAATCGGACCAAGGATCTGCAAGGAATGGCTGGTCAATTGAAGGGATTTGACTTGGAAGCCTACCTCGGTGGTGACACTGAGGATCCTGATATTCCGGTGGCGTGGGCTATCGGTAATGATGTAGTGCCAGGGGCTGCTAGCCTAGTGGACGGCGCTGATCCCTGTGGTGGAGTCCTCGTTTCGAGACTCTACGCGGGAGCAACAGGGACCAGGCAGCTCAAGGTCCTTTTTCTAGGTGACTATACGAAGCACATGGAGAATGCTTCAGAAATTGTCCGGCTCAGGAGCACTTTGGCCCGAGCGATGCCCGGTTGGGAAATCGCAGTGAGAGCATCAGAAGGCCCGTTCGAAGATGACGTAGGTAACACGTCTCACTTGGACGGTGCCACTGCCAACTTGAAAGGGGAAAGGCAAGTGAAGAGGTTGAGGGTCGACCTCCTCACTGCTTGCGCCAAAGCGCTTCGAGCCATGGGTTCGTACCTGCCTGATTTCGCGGTTGGAGTAGGACAGGGAGCAGTCGTGCTTGGGCTGCTCAGACTTCCGCTTGTCGTGGAGGTCACCCTGCAGGCGCGTAATCTGCAGAGGAAGGAGATCCGGGAAGTTGTGTCCGGATGGTCAGGGGTGAAGTCCATTTGGTGCGTTAATCCGCGCCTTTGGAGGACGCAAGCTGGGGGCGACTTGCTGAAAGCGGCCTGCCCTGAGGTCAGTCGAGTCTTTCCTGAAGAGCCGACCAAGGGTTTCGGGGTGGTGACCCGCTCGCCAAAGGAGGAGAGTTCGCGGCGAGTTTGCGATATCCTCGGGCTTGGAGTCCTCAAGGACATTTCGGAGGCGCCTCTGATGAACTTGGCTGTGGAGCCAGGCAGGGACGTCTGGGAGCACGATGGAAGGTGCTCATGTGGCAAGCGGGCTTATGTGTTTGGGCGCTGCACCACTTGCATTGAAAAGGAGGCAAGTGATGATTTTCGGGCAGCTGCTGCTGCGCGGGAGGCGCTTGAACCAGAAGGCGCTGAAGCAGGGGATGGCGAACTCCTAGCAAAGGAGCTCATGGTATTGAGCGCCGTCCCCACGGCTCCGAATGAGCCCAAGGCTTGTTTTGTTAATTTTAGGTTAGTCCAAAGTTGGGCTAAAGCTTGGGAGGACAGTGGGCGTCCAGGAGGGTTTCATGATCTTCCTGGAAGGCTTGGAAAGGTAGCCGGGCTCGCCTGGGCGAAGGGAAAGAACCTGCAGTTGCCTAACTGTGGCGCAGAAGGAACTCCTTATCGCGCGGCCTCATACGTGCACGAGGATGGTACAGTCACCGTCCTCCAGTCTTGTTTGAAGGTGAGCCAGTCGAAACGGCTTCAGGCTTCATGGGAGCTTTCGGAAGTCAACTGGTTCAATCACGTCCTCCTGCTCAGTCGAGTCTGCGAGGCCACTTGGCAAAAGGGGATGCACTCTTCCCAGTGGCCTGCTGAGTTTAAAAGGTTGGTTTGGCTTGTGGGCGAGCCAACCGGAACCGTCGTTTGGGACGATGGCATCGGAAGCGAGGCTATCGGACGGCGGAGGGATTTGGGCTCTAAGCGAGTCCTGATGTGTTTCCAAAAGAATGAAGCCGAAGGCTACTGGCTCCCGATCGCCTTAGGGAAAAAGGTCAGGGTAGATGAGTCCGACTCTCGCCATAGTAGGAAAGTCGGCTGAATTCAAAAAGGTCATAGTCTTGAGTACTAAACACTGGGTGGTCTCTTCGTGGTCCGGAAGGTCAACGATGTCAACGGGCATCGGAGCGATTGATGTTGAAGCCGAGATCCATGGACCGCCTCTGCGGGCGGGGGATCCGCCTTCGGACCCCTGCCGCGGGACGGAGGATGGAGGACCAACGAGGGCAGAGCGTGCGCAGGGTGCCCGCTCTTTTGCTGAAGTAGCAGAGTTTTCAGTCACGGGTTCGCTAAGGAGCGCCCTGTATTCCAGTCAAAGGCAAGACGGGTCTCTTGCTGGGATCTTCCGACGGCCGGGGGATCCATACCGGGTAGGTGGTGATGGGGTCTTGGAACGGTCCGTGACCCTGGAAACAGGCGAGCAGGTTTGGGTTGCGGTCATCCCTGTTGGGCAGGCGGCGTCAAATGGTTTGACCTGGCGTAGGGCATGTTTTCAAATGGCGCACAGTGGGGCGCTGGGGGGCCACAAGTCCAGCGACAAGACCTACAAGGTCCTTGCGCGTACGGTTTGGTGGACCGGAATGCGCGAGGACGTTCAAAAGTGGGTGGATCGTTGCCTTGTTTGCCTCAAGGCGAGGTCTCGACCTCGCAAGGTCGAAGCAGGAGTCTCGCGGTGTTTTGCCGACCATTGTTGGCAAGAGGTCTCTGTAGATTTTGAAGGGCCTAACCGGGAGGACCGCTGGGGATTCAGGTATACGTTGACCTATTTGGATTGCCTGAGCCATGCGGTGCTTGTGGAACCGGTTCGGTCCCTCTCGCACGCGGAAGTCCGTCGGGCGTTCGGAAAATGTATTTTTCGAAGCAGAACGCTGCCGACGCTAGTCCGTTCGGACAGAGGGACGGGATTCAAGAATGCGATGATGGCAGAATTCCTCACCCTGCTGAATGTCCAGCAGAAGTTCAGTACGGCCATGAGACCGTGCGAAATGGGCGCCAACGAGCGGATGCACCAAGAGGTGCAAAAGGTTCTTCATGTGATCCTGCGGGAGCTCGCCAACGATGAGACCGACGAATGGTCCGAGCTCCTCCCTCTCGTCGAGTACCTTCTCGACAACACTCCAGGGCCTCATGGGTACACGCCCAGAGACTTGGAGCGGTCCTGGTCCTTAGGCTTGGATCTTGAAAAGGACCTGATTAAGGAGAGCCTTCAGTTTGAACCCGTGAGCGAATGGGCTCGGCGACAGTTTGGGCAGTTTGCGCAGCTGTCGCGGAAGGTTTCGCGGCATTGGGAGCAAGCCTCAGCAGCCAGAGCTAAGCTAGCGAATCGATATAGGCGCAGCTTGGAGCTCCAGGTCGGCGACCGTGTTGTTTGGCAAGCTCCAGTGCCCCGGGCAGAGGGGGCGGGGCGCGTCCCTTGGAAGCGTGGTCTGTCCGGGCCCTGGGAGGTTGTTTCCGTTCGTGGTCACCGCCTGCAGCTTCGTTTGGCTGCCGATGCTTCTGCCCGCTCGGTCGATGCTCACGCTGAAGATTGCGTTCTCGTTCCCGGCGACATGGATGATGAGCCACGTGCCTCAAGGGATGTTGTTCTTGAGGACGCGTCCGCTGATGAGCCTCTCTCTATCGGGCAGCGGGTCCAAGGAGAAGGAGCTCGACGTGAATTCGTCATGCAGCGGCGAGGACGGCAGTTTGTCCTCCGCATCGGTGATGTTGTCGCCTATACGAAGGGACGGAAGATCTGTTCTTTCGGACGTGTGACTCAGGTCTCAGTTGAAGAAGGGCTCATTGGAGTCCACCGGTATCGTCCGGTGACTGGCTCGCTTCGCGTGAAGTGGGTCCTCGCCTTCCTGGATGAGGATGGTGAAGTTTCTGAGACTGGGACCAGGCCCTGTCTTGAACAGATTCGCTTGAAAGAAGTGGTCTCAAAGGCAGAGATCTCGAGGGATGGGACTCTCGCAGCCAGCACCAGCCGGAAGCTTGATAAAGCGGGCTACCGCTTGGTGGGCGAGGGTCCTGCGGGAATGCTCCTGGTTCAGGACATTCCGCGGACCGAACCAGTGTCGTGGGTGCAACTGTTTGCTGGCTTGGTCTACAGCGCCACAGTGGGGGCTGAGCGATGCCCCGGAGAGGCCGGAGTGTTGCGGAAGTGGCTTGTCAGTCAGCGAGCAACTAAGGTGCATTTCCTGGAGCTGTACTCAGGGCACGGTGGTTTAACTGCTGCTATCCGCCGGATGGGCTACGTGGTGGCCCCCCCTGTGGATCGTCTGCGCGCTTCATACGGGCGAAGGTGGGATCTTGGGCAGAGGGGCGACCGAGATTTGGTCGACCTGCTCATTGCTTGGCTTGAGCCCTATGCGATCCACTTGGGTCTTCCATGCGAGGGATACAGCAGGATCGGGAATGGCAGCTTAACGGCGCAAGATGAGGCCATGCTGAAACACGCCGTTGAGGTTTTGCGGAAGCAAAAGGAAGACGAGCGTGTGGGCACCTTGGAGAACCCGGTTGGGAGTGCTGTGTTCCAGGCGGCGCCATTGGTTGAAGAGATCGGCGCCCTTGATAATCCGAAGCGACCATGGGCCGTTGTCCGGACTGATGGCTGCCAGTACGGCATGGTGTCGCGGGCGGTCAACGATGGGTCTTTAGGCCAGGCGGTCGAAAAGGGGCAGCTATGGGTGGCTAACAAAGAGCTTTCAGGGTTTTCTCTTCGGTGCAAACGACCGGACGCGCTGAGCGTCACGGATCATGCTCATCGACCGGTCAGAGGATCGGTCAAGGTGCCGTGCGAGGACGGAGACACTCATTGGGTTTCCGCCGGAGTCATGAGCAGCTTCTACCCAGTCGCTTGTTGCGACGCCTATGCTCGTGCCGTGTTTGCCGACGTCCAGTCGAAGGTTATGGAGCGGGTCTTGTGCCCAGAATGTGGCGCTTTTTCGCCCTCCACTTCGACTAGCGGGCCGGGTCTGGGTGTTCTCGACCTGGTCGCGGTCAAAGAGGACACGACGGCGTCTGAAGACCTTATGATCCCTCCTCCGGATGTGAATACTAGTGCTGAGCTGACCGCTCGGGAGCACGAGTTGCTCGAAAAAGAGATCAGTGCCCTCTCGGCGGAGATGGCGCGAAAATGGGACAAACTAGCGACGGAGGAAAAATGGGATGAGGTCAAGGCGGATTTGAGTGTGTACCGCTTGAGCGGCGAAACCGTCACTTCAGACCCTCGACGAGAGGAAGCTTATAGGAAAGCTGTGGTAGAAGGTCTGGGGTTTGGTTCCGACGCTGCGGAAAGGCGCTCGAGCCTTTCCGCAGACGATTTGGGCGCGTGTCGGGACGCGTTGTCCCGTAAAGCCGCTGCTTTCTGGTTGGAAGGGACGCCGCGCACGACTGTCCGGGGCGTGGCGCACGACTGCGTTCCTACGGGGCCTCCGGTCTCTTTGCAGCCGCAGCTGAAAGGGGAGAGCGCAGCGTGGGTTGATGAGCAGTTAGAGGCTGAGGTCCAGAGGGGGCAGCTCATTCGAGGCTCGTCTCCGTGGGGCAGTCCTCCTTTCCCCACCAAGGAGGCACCAACGCACAAGCGGCATCGTAAAAGACGGTTGGTGGTCGACTACAGGCGAGTAAACGCCCGGGTGTTGCGGAGCACCTACTACTGCAGGAAAGCTAGCGATGTGCTGGCGCAGTGTGCTGGGTCCATCTGGTTTTCCTTTGTGGACGCAGTGACTGGGTTTAACCAGATCCAGAACACCAGAAGGGCCATGGAAGTGTTGGCCATCGTCGCCAGATCGGGCAAGTTCCTGCCGGTCTGTTTGACCTTCGGACCTGTCAACGGCCCGGATGACTTTTGCTACGTCGTCGATCGCGCTTTCGGGCCGGGCCGCGGCAGGAAAAACCGGTACACTCGTGAATGGGTGGCCTATGTCGATGATCTCACGATCCGGACTGGCCGGGTCGTTGATGGGGGCTTTCGAACCGACGCGGAGCACGAAGAGGAAGTGCGGCGTGCGATGCGAGACGCCCCGGTCACAGTAGGACAGCCGGCTCGGGATGCCTTGGAGGCCTTGGGAGTCCAAGCCGAAGCGTTAGGGACAAAGGGGAAGCACGACCCCAAGGTTTCAGACCATAACCATCCCAGTCATCACCAGCGGCCCGAGGGTTGGGTTCGCCCTAGGGTGCGGGACCTTCTTTGGGTTTGGTCTAGGGGGGTCCCCTGGTTTTGGGTCGGTGGTTTGCTGCCCAGCGGCCTTGGAAGTGGAGAAGGCCGTTTGTTCGTGCACTGGAGCAAAGATGCTCTGGACAAACCCGGTAAGCACACAGGCGTGCGATCTGGGACTGACGCAGTCGTCATCACGACTGTAGGACGGCTCAAGGAAAAAAAGGTGGACATGCGGACAGGGGTAGACGGAGTCATCCTCACGAGCGAGGTTCCACCGCGGTGTTTTGACCGCATCTCCACGTTTGATGGCGAGACCGGCAAGGAGGGCGATCTTCTTTGGACGCGCCAGGAAGGCCTGGTGCCCATCGAGCTGCCTACTGGGGACACCGATGAGTCGTCCTCGGAAGATGAAGCTGAGGGGCGCCAGCGGTCCGGTGCTGCGCCTTCGCAGCCCGGACGCGGCGTCAAGGAAGACCCTGAGGAGCCGGCCGCGCCCGCGGCCGTTGAGTCCAGCCCTCCGGGCCGCGATCCGGCGCCTGCGGTGTCTCCCGTCAAGGATGAGGTCAGCCCGCCAGAGCAAGGTGCGGCGCCAGCCGCGTCTCCCGTCAAAAGGAGGCCAGCGGCTAAAATCCCTAAAGGGTATCATGGTGAGCCGCCGAATTTTTGGTGGGCGCACCTCCCAAAGGAGCTATGGCAGAGAGAAGGGTACTGCTTGCTGTGCAAGACGCGGAAGGGTGTCAGGGGTGCTGGATGCCCCGTTGATGAGGATCACCTGCTCAGTGAGCAGCACATCGAGGAAATGTTTAAGATGGAGGCTCGCTATGAAGAACAGCAGCGCCAGCAGGCCAAGGCTGCGCCTCCGCAACCTGAGCGCGAGGCACCTACGCAGCCGGCCCTTCCTGCTGCGGCCAACCCGGTCAAGGAGGAGGTGGCAGAGCCTTCGGCAGCTTCCTCTAGCGCAGGGCCTTCGGTGAAGTCGGAGGCAGAAGTGGAGGGAGCCAAGCAGGCCGTAGTAGCCTCTCTGACGCGGACTGGTGGTCTGTCTTCGGACCCCGGTCGCGCAGAACGGCCTGATCGTATGAAGGGCGAAATGTCCAAGGAGGAGCTGCAAGCCATCTGGAGTAAGGAAGGCCGGACTCGGACGGCGCGGCTTGTCGAGTCACTGCTGGGGGGTGCTGCCGCGGATGAGCTTCGGCACCAGGAAGGTGCCGTAGGCGGTCTCAGCCAGCTGATGGCTAAGGAGGAAGAGCGGCCAACGGAAGGAGGAGCCGCCAAGCTTGAAGGCAGTCTTCGGATGATCGCCTCAGCGACGACCACAGCTGCAGTCACCAGGAAGCGTTCAGGACTCCCTGTGGGTGACACAGAGAGTGGGCGCTATGGAGAGGCGGTGACTCGTGCACTGCCCGTAGCCGCAGAGCGCCTGGAGCTCGCTCATGAGACTCCGCGAGCAAGGATCGTCGGCGCCGCAGAGTCGGATACGCGACTCGACGCCGGGCTCCGTGCAGTTGCCCAAGGGTCCACTGACGTGAGCCGGAAGGTCTTGAAAAAACAAGCGCGGAGCAGGATGAGAGCGGAGGAGCACAGGAAGTCGCTGGCCGCAGAGGCCGCTGCAAGCAGACTCGCCAATGAGGAGCCCGATGACTCCAGGGCCAACGCTCCCCCCCGTCCGCCGGACGACGGCCTTGATGATCTTCCCTACGAGGAAGGCAGCTGGGTTTGCGGAGCCTGCAAGACGGTCAACAGACCAAAACTGGTCCGTTGCGAGGGCTGGATCAAAGGAGAGCGTTGCGGCGAGCGCTGGGAGTCTATGGCCAGGTACGCCAAGAGCGGACCTCCTCGGCGCAGAAGCCCGGACTCTAGGAGGGAGGCCAAGCGGCTTCGGACTGAGACAGTCCTCAGTCAGGTCTTGCAACGGCCTGACAGCTGGTGGTGTAGCCGCTGTTGGTCAGGGAACCTATGCTTCCGCAACAGATGCTACAAGTGCTCTGCCATCCGGGAAGAGCCGGATGAGGGGTCGTCCGACGACGGACACCACCCGAAACCGTCACAGCAGCTGACGGAAGAGATCCAAAAGTTCTTGGCCCAATCGCAGAGACGGGTCAAGAAGAAGCGTGCTGGCACAAAGCACAAGAAGAGTCACAAGAAGCGGAAGCGAATCCGCTCAGGAGGGTCGGCGGTGAAGTCTGCGGTTCGCAGGCTTCGCGCGACCCGGTCAGCGGTGAAGTCTACGGTTCGTGGACTTCGCGCGACCAGGAAGAAGAGACTGCGGAAGAAGACCAAGCGTCAGGGGTGGGCCTTGTCAAGGAGGGCTCGGAACCGGCGAGCGCACGCCTTGAACGGCAATGGGTTCAGCTTCGGCAGCAAGGCCACTTTGGTCCTTGCCGCGTTCTTAGCGCCGGTGGTCCGCAGGGTCCAGCTCGAGATGGAAGAGATCGTGGAGACCGGGTCGGAAGCCTTCCAGGTAGTGATCGCCGAGGGCGGTGAGGAGTTGGCTTCCTTCATCGAGACGGTGTTCTCGACAGCTCGATTTGCAATCGTCGGGCTGGTGTTTTGGTGGGTCTCCAGGAAGGTCGCAAACGTGATGATGCACATGGCTCATGGAAGCGCGACCCCACGCTTGGTTCAATTTGACGGAAACATCTCCACGTGGGAAGTGAAAGGGACTCGAGGAGTTCATCGAGTCAGGATCGCAGGGAGAGCCCCAGGGTGCGCTTGCAGAGAGTTTCTGCGCACTGGCACCTGCGACCACGTGGAAGTCGCTTTGGCTGCGCACAAGAAGCTGGTTGGGCCGCAAAGTGCGGAGGCTAGCGCGGCGTCAACGGCCCTGGCCAGGGGAAAAGCCGCAACTGAGGGGCGATCAGTAGAATCGCTTGGCCTTTCGGCTTGCTTCCAAGGCCTTGTGGAGAAGGCCAAAGGCCTACGTTCGGAAGCCCAGCCAGGGTCCAGCGGGGATCAGGGCCAACAGCTGCGAGAGCCAGAGGAAGGCCAGACGCCTGAGTTCGCCGTGCGCAAAGAGCGTGAAAATAAGCCAAGGCTGGCTTTGGAGGATGTGTCACCGTGGACCGGCGTTGCGCTTTCGCGCGGCGGTCGCGGCTCTCAAGACCAGGAGGTGAACGTGCAGCTCTTGATCAACAAGGAGTCGCAGGAGGCCATCCTCTCAGCCTTGCAAACGCTGAAGGGCGGAGAAGTCATCGCCACAGCCTATACGCTAGACCAACCAGATTTGGTAGAGGGCCTTCTAGTGTTGGGCGGATCAGCCCGGCTGGTGGTGGACAAAGGCCAGAGTCATGGAACGCGCACCAAGCTGCAATTTCAGAGTTTGCAGCAGCTGGTTCGTGGAGGAGTTCGCGTGCGCGTAGTCTCTGGGTCGCACCTGGCGGCGGTGTACTCCGCCGACAACAGAGACACTTCGAGGATCGGAAAAGGTCAGCGTGGAATTCAGCATTCCAAAACCTTCGCGATCTCGAAGGATGGCCAGTTCCAGTTGATCATTGGATCTTGCAACTGGACTACGGCGTCCCGTTCCAATGCCGAAGCTGGTGTCCTCTTGACAGGAAGTTGTGGGCATGAGGTGTACCAGCAGTACACCGAGAACTTCGAGCGGCTTTGGAAGGAAGCTGTCGTCTTTGACGGGACGCGTGTGGCGGAAGAAGAGCCTCGCAGGAGGGTCTTCGGAAAGCAGAGTGCGCCGACGGAAGAGCACTGAACCCGTCGGAGGAGCGCAAGCCAGAGCTTGAAGGGAGCCAGGGCTTGCCTTGTGGCGGAGGTTTGCGGTTCGCATCCTCTGCGCGGGCAAGGCTTGGGGATGAGATGGATCCCACGGCCGCAGAACCCATCTGAGGGGCGATTGTGAGCCTAAGTAGCCTTGCCCGTAAACATGTTTATGTGTGTGTTTCACTTGTGCATGAACTGTTTTTGGCTCAAGGGCCAATACTTTTGGCTCAAGTGAGTGGCTAGGAGTAGTGCAAGTAGCTTCTCAGCTTCACTAGGCCGTCTCACCGTCTCACCAGCGTGACTGACCCGCGACCTCGCTCGTGCGAGCAGAAACAGCTGCGCGGCGTTCGTACGCGTGCTCGCAATTGGGGGCTGTTCTGGGAAAGCTTCCATCTGTGTGTGGAGGCTGGTCGCGGTCGGTGGTTGCGGTTCGCACCACCGGCGCGCTGGTGAGGAGGAACCGCGGGCGGGGCTCGTGGTTCACGGCCTTGCTGCGGGATGAGCCGAGAAGTTGCAGGAGAAGAAGAGGGCGTCACTCTGCTGGAAGCGATCCGGGATGGAAGGGTGCCTACCCCGGAAGAGATGACGTTCCCTCGGTGGCAGGCTTGGCGACGTGCCGCCGGCCGTAGGCCCACAAGGAGAAGGGACGGCAGAGGCCTGCCGACAGGTGAAGAAGTAGCCCTCTGGAGGAGCGTCATGGATGAGCTCTATGGCGAGGGCAGGGCGGCGGAACTTGACGAGGGCGATGAAGAGGAGGAGGAAGAGAGGCCGTCGGCATCGGCCTCCCCTTCTGTTGCGTCTCGTGAGGTCGCCTTGGTGAATAGCCCACGCCCGTCTTCAGTTGGCACTGGAGGAGTCAGCGTGGTGAGCCTTCGGGCCAAGTTGCAAGCGTTGTATGACCCTTCGGCGGAGGAATTCGGGGCGTACCTGATGCGTATGGGACGAATCATCTCCGCTCTCCAAGCCTTGGACGCAGCTGTTCCGCCGGGTCTGTTAGAGACAGTGACAAGAAAGGCGGAATTCATGATCGAACTGTATGGTGAGCATGGGGGTTTGGATAAAGTGAGAGCTGTGCGTTTCTTGCGAGACAAGTTCGTAGCTTACGCGCAGGATGAGACCTTAGACCCTCGAGAGAGAGACAGTTCGATCGCCGCGATCGGTGAGTTGATTGAACAATTAGGAGGGAAACCGAGTTCGAGCCCAGGAAAGGTGTATAGTACTCCGTCTGGAGCGGAGGAAGCAACGGTTCCTGTGGCTCGCGGTCCCGTCAGCGGTCTTCGCGACGTTGGACGCGGCCAACGACCGGCGCCCGGTCCCGCTCCTAGTTCGGGACCAGAACAAGATGGGGATTTCTCCCTCAGGGCCAAGCTGGCAGCTCTGGAGATGGAGCTGGAGGCGATGAAGCGAGAAAAAGCCGAATCAGAGGCCGGTTCAGCGTTGGGATCGGAGCAAGGCTTAGCAGCCGCCTTGGCCCAACAGAAGGCAGCGCTGGAGGCGCAAACAAAGGTGCTCCAGGAAGCGTTGGGACGAGGCGGAGGCAACCAGTCTGTCACCGCGGTCAAAACAGACCTTCATTGGCCGACCTTGACAGACGAGCGCTCTGACTTCAAGGATGTCACCTTGTTCTATGAGGAGTTCGAGGATGTGTGCGCCTTAGCGAACTCCTGCCGTGGAATGAATGCCCGCGAGAAACTGCTGGCTCTCCGAGCGCGCTGCCGGGGAAGTAGGCTGAAGACCTACCAGAACCTGTACCGGTCCGCCTGGAAGTCCGGAGAGGTCCTGGCAGACCCCGAAGCAGTGTATGAGCGCATCAAATCGAAACATTTGATGTTTAGTGAAAGCCGAGAAGAGCGAGAGATCCGCGTCGATGCGGAGCATGTCGCGCTCATGAAGGGGAAGCTCACTGGTCACCAGTTCGAACCTTTGTTCGAAGCGTCGGTGGCGGAATTGGAAGCTGTGGGTCTTGGAAAGACGCAGCGAGAGCTTTTCCTCTCCTACTTGAGGAAGGTTGGGACCAGTCTCCAACGGGAGATTCGATCCGACAAGCGGCTTTGGGGACACGAAGACAAGCTCCGAGGGCCGCAGACCTGGGAGGAGGCTCATCGGGTCGTCCTCGAGTATGAGCAGCGAGAAGCGACTAACAAGGCCACCGCCAACGCCGTGTTCACGACCACCGGCGAAGCCACGCGTCTTGCAGCGGATCTCGCAAAGAAGGAGAAAGCAGAGAAGGCGAAGCGGGACAAGGCCAACAAGGAGGCGAACAAGGGAAAGGGCAGAGGCGATCAGGTGGCGATCACGTCTGGAGATCCCCGCAAGGACAAACTCTGCTGGGATTATCGTGATCACGGCCCAATAGACTGAGAACGTCTATTTTCAAAAATAGACGTAAAAAATAAACTATTAACTTATTTTCGTTAATTTTTTTAACGAAAAAAAATAACGAATTTTTGGAAATTTCGTTTAAAAAGTTATCTTAATTTCGTCTATTTTTATCGAAAAAATTAACGAAATTTCGTTAAAAATAGACGAAATTTTTAACGTATACTCTTATTTATGCGGCGATTGCAAACTAGAAGTTTCATAGAAGTTTCTATCAAACTTCTAGTTTGCAAGTAGAACTTTGATAGAACTTTTGTAGAAGTTTTGTACGTCAATTCTAGTTGAAAACTAGAAGTTTGGTAGAAGTTTTGCACTTGTAATTTCTGGGGTCAGCATGTGTATTCGCAGCCACTGCTCTGTGTATTTGCAGCCGTTTCTCAAATATTGTACTGTGGTGGTTTGTTGTTATTGTGTTTGTGAAGTTGGAACCATGTACACTTATTATGGGGGAATGTTCATGTTGAGCGCTTTTGTTGAGAGGAGTGACTTGACAGAGACAGAGAGGACAGTTGAATTTGGCATACTTGTGTTTGGAGAGATGTTGAGAGATGTGGAGAGGACAGTTGAATTTGGCAGAATTGTACTGATCCTGGCAGGTTTGGAGAGAGGTTGAGGGAGTGAACATCTTCTTGACAGAGAGCGTTTTGCTGTGGAGAGTTGTGGAGAGTTGTGGAGAGTTGTTGATTGAGGACTTTTTTGAATTTGAATCACTGATCATGTCATGTCGGATGATTGTTGTGTTTATCTTTGTCAGATGCATTTCCTCTGAAGACGGATCAAAGCCCCAAGAGTTTGGATCTGAAAACATCACCATTCATTCTTCACATTCCTGGTTGGTGTATAATAGCCAGTGGTGGTGGTGAGTCCGTTGGTGCTTCAACCACTTTTGTTTTTTGAGCAAATGGCTACTTGAGTGTATCTGTTCATCAGAACTTGCTGCTGCCGTGCCTTGCTTCAACATGTCAGCTGCTGCTTCGTCATCATTGGTTGCAAAGACTTTTCCATCGTCATCGCGCTGTCGCTTGAGAGCTGACCCTGCAATCGCTACCAGTGATTTTATGGAAGCGTTCAAAGAGCTGTTTGTGAAGGAGGACTCAAGGGATATTCGCAAGATCTTGAGTCCTCCGCCAGACATGGACTGGAAGTCCACACCACAGTACAAATGGCTAGCGCGTCTCAGCCCTTTTTTCATGAAGCTTCTGGACGTGGCGCCGAACACTGTTCTGACCAGTAGGAAGGTGAAGGATGCTATTATCCGGCTTCACGAAGAAGGGCCTGTCAACATGACAAGGAAGGATGATTCAGAGCTGTGGGATTGGGTAGATACGAAGATCAGAATTGGCATGTCCCAACTTCGTGACCTCAAGAACAATGTGCATGGATGCCTCGATCGTGCTCACAAAAAGGCTACTTCAGAGGAGAGGAACAAGTTGTGTGAGTTGATGAAAAGGGTCAACTTGTTCAAGGAGACAGGTGGTTCTTCAGAAGACCTTGGTCATCATACCGAGTCGACTGCTCTTGTCGTCCATGATCCTACTACTACGGCCACTCCTTCATCATCGTCACCTGTTTCGAAATCCAAGAAGAAAAGGAATGAGGAGGATGCGCTTTCTTCATCGCCTAGAACAGTGTTTGAGAGCATCTTGAAAAAGAAGAATGTTCGTTCGTTGGATTCAACCACATCTTCTGATCCATGGACCCCAACCAAGATGAAGAAGAAGAAGAAGAAGGAAAAGAAGACAAGAAGAGGGCTCAGCTATGATGATGAGGAGGAAGATAGTGGCAAGGATGAGGGTGGTGATGCCGTCATCAAGATTCTCCCCGCTGGCCACAAGATCATGAAGGAGAGAAACAACAAGGGGAAAGCGTTTGATTCTTCTCAGCCATCCCTTTTTGACAACTTGTTGAGCATGATGGACGGTGATTCTTCTTCTCCAGAGAAGAAGAAAAGACAGCGCGATAAAAAGAAAAAGAAAGAGGAGGCAGAAGAAGAGGAGGTCAAGAAGTCAAAGAAGCAGAAAAGGACACAACATCGACATAGTCAAGTCGATGCAGAAGACGACGACTTCGACTTCCAAGATGATGGGTTTTATGATGACCTTTCTCCTGTTCCTATGCTTGCACATTTTGTGGAAGAAAATTATTGCAATCTTGATACGTTCAGAGTTGTGAGATTGAGAGTTGTTGAGAGTTGTTGAGGGCTGTTGAGAGGCGAGTTGGTTCTGTTCTGTTGGTTTCTTTGTCTTGTTTCTTGCTTTTTATTGATGACCGCAACTAAGGATGAGAGAAGGATCTTGAAGATGTCCAAAGAGGCTGACCCTGTGAATGCCAACGCCAACCTCACTTTGCGCAAGAAGTTGAACATGGCAAAGAAAAAACAACAAGCAAAGAAAAACAATGGTAAAAAAGGAAAGGCCGCAGAAGAGGAAGAGCAGAAGAAGGTGAACCAAAGTGGAGCAGCAGGGTCGAAAGATGGCAGCAAGAAGAAGAAACCCACAAAGAAGAACGCGCAGAAGAAGAATGATGGCGGTGATGGTTCTACGAATCCAAGAGGAAGTGATGATGCGAACAACCAAGCAAACAGGTTCGAGTTGTCGACAGCCAAAAAGAACAGTAGTAGTGCAAAGGTTCTGAAGAGGCCATCATCTGTGCCACCATCCACTTCGGTCGAGAAGAACGAGGGTGATGTGAAGAAGAAGAAGAAGAAGGAGGATGAGGATGATGATGGTGAAGACGGTGATGACGGCCAAGTTTGGACTCCAGAGATTCGTTCGAAGAAGCGAAACACAATTACCAGCCGTGCGTACCACCAGGTTTTTGACAAGTTCAGACCGAGGAAAAACGCAGGGGTTTTCCCTGGGAGTGCAGCATGGGCCAGGATGACAAAGGATGCCAAGGCCAGGGCGCGGTGTGCGCACAAAGAAGCTGGCCAAAAGTTCGATCAAAAGCATCCACGAACATCGGTTGTTGTTGCTGAGAAGAAGCGGAAGGCCAAGCAAAAGAAGAAGAGTAAGACGACTGGTGAGGAAGGCGAGGATGATGTGCGCGAGGAACCCGAAGAAGAAGAAGAACATGCACATAGTCCTATAGATGTAGATTAGGTCGATCTTGTCATGAAGGCGCCCTTGGAAAAATCTATGCGCACAACACAGCCTCAAGGCTTGTTGTATTTGACTCTACTGTAACAGTCAAGAGTAGTAACCTCTTGATTCTTCAATTTGAGTACGCTAAGATTTGCAGAGTGTTGAGAAATTACTTTGGAATATGTTTTGAGGGATGTTGAGAGATACTGTTGAGAGCGTAAGGTTTTTGCGATTGTATTTCGGGCTGCTGAGAGAGTTTGACTGTCAGTGCGTTGAGAGATGTTGAGGATGATGGTGAGAGAGTTTTTACTGTGGAGAGAGTTGTGAGAGCGGTTGAGAGAGTTGGAAGTTAGAGTTGTGAGACTCTTTTCTGGTTGTCACGGTTCATATCGTGCTGATTATCGTTTCTTTGGAGCTTGATTGCTTTGTGTGGAGAGATTTCATTGAGTCAGAGTTGAGCGAGTTGAGGGTTCAAGCGCCAGTTGAGAGATTGATTGTTGACAGATTCAACCTTGTACATTCAGAGTTTGTTCTTGAGCATGCAGTATTATCTTTCTATTATGATTCCATTTGCTTCACTGCAATTCAGCACCATTCGGGTAGCAGCTGACACCATCATGGAAAGAATACTGCTCCTCCAACAACATCTCAACAACCTCTCGACTACATCTCAACAACATCTCAACGAACCCTCAACAAACTTTCGACAGTGTGTGGTATTTCTACATCTTCTTCGATCTGCCAAAACTTTGTTTGCCCGCAATGGTGAATCACCAGGTGATGATTCGAGATTTGGATTGGAGCACCAAAGCTTCGAACCTGGTGGAGCGCGTGTCGAATCTCAATGCTGATGCGGCCGACTTGATCCAGGAGGTCAGGGTTACAAGGCAAGAACGCTTCTTTCCTGGAAAAATGTGCACAGCGTTTGTGCATCTTCGAGATGGTGCTTCGGAAGAAGTTGCACAGCAAATTGCAGCGATCTTGGGGGGTAGGGTTGTTGAGCCTAAGGCTAAGCAACAACCTCCTCCTAAGCAGCAGCCTGCACAGCAGCCTGTGCCCGTTGAGCAACTCCCAGGACTTGGCTTCAAGAGATGCCCTGCCCCTCCGCCGAGACCATCCTCTTCGGCTTCTCGTGGTGCCAGCAGTGCGCCAGTGACACCACCGAAAGGGAGCCAGTCACCACCAAGCCTTTTGCCAAGGCCACCAACAAGGCAGTTGCCAAGGCCACCACCAGGTCCTCCGCCTGGATGGATTCCACCAGCCCCTAAGTATCCATTCCCGCCAACACCGCCAATTCCTATGACAGCACCACCCCAAGTTTAGTCTTCCTGCTGCTTGGCGTCCAAAGGTTCGACCCAGCACTACAAGACTGCTAGAAGAACAGCAGCAGCCAAAGAAGGTAGCTGCTCCATCATCTGCTCCGCCACGAGTTGAAGAAGAAGACGGTGGTGAAGCAGCTCCTCGTCGGACAGAAGTGAAGGTCGAGCAGCCAGACAACACGAGTGGGCCTCTTCAGAATGTCACCACTAAGCCCGAGAGTGAGCAGAAGGATGAAGAGTATGAAGATGTTGTGCTTGATGATGAGGCACATGAAGCAGAAGAAGAAGGGCATGAGAAGAAGGAGACAGAGCAGGAAGAGAAGCAAGAGAATGAAGAAGAATACTTTTTGCCTGAGGCAACAAGTGCTTCGTTTGCTCGCGTGGCTGTAGATCCTGTTCCCGGTCATCATCAAGTGTATGCTCAGCCCACTCCTCATCGTGATGAAGGCCATGACGACACCCAGCCCATTCCCAGTGCTCATGATGAAGGCCATCATGAAGAAGGTGTGCCCACCAGTCCTGCTGGTGGCCTTGTCGAAGCTGATGATGATGAGGTTGAGCGCTTCCATGAGGCTGATGAGCTGCCGGAGGAAAAGGCGGAATTGGGATTGATGAAAGAAGAGGAAAAGGAAACTGATGAAGGCTTTGAAGGCGGCGAGGCTACACCATGGAAGAGGCGGACGGACAAGCGTGACCGTCACAAGAAGAAGGCAGCAGCGGCAGGAGCGCGTGCCAAGAGTGCTGCTGGTTCTTCTTCGCAGCCGGCTTCAGGTGACGTCAGTGGTAGCCGGAAGCCTTCTTCAGCGGCAGAGCATGATGCTGATGAGGAGAAGGCAAAGGAGCCCACCTGAAATGAGCTGCTGCAAGACATGTCTTTGAGTTCAGAGTTGTTTGAGAGTCTTGTGAGGTTCTGTTGAGAGTCTTTTGAGAGCTTGTTGAGAGGTTGAGAGGCTTGTGTGCTTGGAAGCTGTCGTTTTTTAACTCAAGTATGTACACACTGAGGCCATAGTTTGTTTGCGCTGTTGCAGGATGATGACGATCCAGACAGACCTCCTACACCTTCGGCACCAAGGGGGTCAGGGACAAAGAGGAAGCGATCCTCGAGGTCTCCGTCATCGTCCACCAAGAAGAAGAAGCGCAAGAGCAAGACTCGCCGCAAGAAGAAGGAGAAGAAGCAGAAGAAAGACAAGAATGCAAAGAAAGAACGCCGTAAGAAGCATGAGAAGAAGGCTCGCGCTCAAGATAAGAGCAAGAAGCGGAGTCGTGGACGACGCCATCAAGGTGGAAGACGTGGTCATCACGGTCACAAGACGCGGCATCGCCGCCGGCTTCCATCGTCATCTTCTTCGTCCTCGAGTTCCTCGGACTACGGCTACAGCTACAGCGGCTGTGACAGCCATGGATCCTGATAGGAACCTCGAACGTCTCGCGCAAAAATGCAGCGTTTGAATGCGGTGCTTTGGAATGATGACACATTGCTTGCTTGTGGGTTCTTCCTTCAGCTTACTTGTTGAGAGTCTTTTGAGAGTTTGTTGAGAGTCTTCTGAGTCGTTTGAATTGTCTTATACTCTTTGAGATGTACTGTAACAACATCCCAACGACATCTAAACAACAGTCTCAACGCACTCTCAAGATACTCTCAACAACCCAACAACAACAACGACAACAACCAGAATAAGAACAGCAACAACCAGAAGAACAACACCAACAAACTCAACCTCCCAACCTCAACAAGTCTCCCAAAGGATCCAACATCATGAAGAAACTCAGACCTCAACACTCCCAAACATCACCACAGACTTCCTATTAACACTGGACAATATAGTAGGATTGAAGGTGTACTTGAATAAATGAGTATCAGCGTGATGGTTTTCAGAAAGGTTGAGAGAAGTTGAGAGAGTTTGAGCGAATGACCAGCTTGTGTGAAAACATGTGTGACTTGAAATCGTTTGTTGTTGAACTGTGAAGTTGAATTACAAACTTGTGCCCTGCAGCCTGCTGCAAAACAAGATCGTAGATCTGATTCGTAGAACAAGTGTGTTGTAGAACCACTCTCGTAGAAGAGCAGCTACTATGTCGTCGAACAAACAGAATGGCAACGACATCCCTGATGCTGAGATGACCAATCAAGATCTTTGGTCACAGGAAGCTGTTGTTGCTTCGCCTGCAACTCCTCCCAATGACTCGCAGGCTCCTTTGGAGGATGTGAATGACATCAACGTCGAGAACAATGGTGGGCCCTCTGCGCAAGTTTCTGACTCTCAGAATCCTGAAGATGATGAGTCTGAAGAAGAGGGTGAGTTCTATGCCATGACATTGAGGAGCGATGGCACTTTGGTGCGTCATGACAACGGCAACGCTTTCCCCAGCCCGGAGACAATGCTGCTTGCCGAGCGCATCCAGGCCTTGTTGCTTGCTGGCCCTCCAGCCTGCAACTTGAACATCGGTGGACCTCCTTCTTCTTCCTCCCAGCCTGCTGATCCTGCACATCCTGGACCCAAGAGGATGCCCAAGTCGAGAGCATCAAAGAAGAAGGACAAGAAGAAGAAGCAGCAAAGCTGAACCGATCGCAGCTGGCTTGCTGTTTGACAGTTGGGCGTCCAACCCTAACTTTTTTAAGGGCCGAACCGATCGGAGCCATTCGCGCGTTGATGGAAAACATGTTGAGTGCATGTGAGTTGTTTGAGAGAGTGTTTCACACTTGACTGTTTTCTTTGCGCAGGTCTGCTTGGAGAGTCGTTGAGGGATTTGTGAACTATTGAAGCTGTTGAGAGAGTTGAGAGTTACTGTGGTGGAAATATTTGATTGACATGTTGAATTTCATGTTGAATTTCATTGAAACTTTTGTGAATCTTCAACATTATGTTTTTATGAAAGTAGAAGTTTACTAGAAGTTTCCATGAAACTTCTAGTTTGCAAGTAGAAGTTTAAGTAGAAGTAAAGTAGAAGTTTGACTTGTTGAAAATGACAACCCTTACAGTGAATATGCAATGTTGCTTATGAACTTCTAGTAAACTTCTAGTAAACTGATAGTAAACTTCTAGTAAACTGCTAGTTGTGGAAACTAGAAGTTTCATGGAAACTTCTAGTAAACTTCTACTTTTGAACATTCATAAGTTAAGAAAATTTATATGTATTTCTATGATTTCTATACATTGTATATATTGCAATTGTTGAGAGCTCTTACCTGTCTGAATAACGTTGTGCACTTGTCGGTTGAGAGAAAGTGAATTTGCTCCCATATCCGTGAAGCAGTTAGCTGGAAAGTCCAATAGCAGCGCGCATCGACTTTCGGAGTACCGCTCTCACCATGCCGCCTCCCATGAAGCGACCATCATCAAGGAAGGATGAGGCTGAGGATGTCGAGCCGGAGACCAAAAAGAGGCCAGCTGCCAGTGGAAGCATGAACAAGGCGATCAACGAGCTGAAGCATGGCCTCAGATCTTCAAGCTCCAAGAAGGACGAGGACGACAACGAGGAAGAGTCTGTTGGAGAGGAGGAGGACTCTCACCTCCGCGACAAAGGAAAGAGTATAAAATTTAACTCGATGAGGAGGAGTTTGCCGGCCCACATCGTTCACCTCTACGACACCGAGGCCCTTTCGAAGCCAAGTCCCCGCGAGTTCAGGACGCAGGTGATCAACCAGCTGTTCACGAAGTTGAAGAACGGCAGATACTCGTTGAATGCGGAGAAACCTATGTTTCAAGAGGCCAAGAAGCTCTACGAGCGCAAATACGGCAAGGATTCCGAGACCGGATTGCCGAAGAGCGTGTTGAAAGGGCTCTACTTTCAGAACTCGGAGAGCGCCTTTCAAGAGGCCATTAGCAGTGGCGATGTGTACGTCATGAACTCCGAGGATGGTGTGGAGTTCTTCGGCTTTCGCAAGATCGAAGCTGGGCGCGAGAGGCGTGTTTTGCTGCCTTGCTGAGAGAGTCATTCAGAGTTTTGGAAAGAGCAGCTGAGAAAGTTTTGATAGAGTTGTCTTTTCTTGAGAGAGTTTTTGAGAGAGTTGTCTTTTTGTTGAGAGCTTTTGAGAGGGTTGCCTTTTTGTTGAGAGAGTGTTTGACAGAGTTGCTTTTTTGTTGGGAGGTGTGGAGACTTGTTGAGAGTCTGTTGAGAGTCTTTTTGTGAAGTCCTGGTGGATGTATTTTTTTGATGCTGTTGATGTTTTGTTGATTGTTGTTATGGAAGTGGCTGTTGTGGCTGCTGTGGCAGGGGCACTACTCGGGAACAGAGTGTCCTCAAGGAGAAGAAGATCACAGCTGATCAGTCCAACTGCTTGGAGGACTTGTTGGAGCAGCTGAATTGGAGCTTAATTGGAAGAAGACGGACGCGAAGTCCATGGTCGAAGGAGAGAAGCTTCCTGAGTCAGTTCTGAAGCTGCTCACACAGGCCATCACCAGTGAGACCAAGCTGTCGGGCGATGCTTTCAAGCTTCTCAAGAAGATTGGCGACGATGGCGGCGCAGACTACAAGGGTTTGAAGCTCCTGTACACCGAGAGCCAGACGCATTTGTCTGACCTGAAGCACATCAAGGACTTCAAGGAGTTTCCTGGCGAGAAGGACCCCCCTCTGACCAAGGAAGCCTTCGATTTGCGCATGAAGAAGGCATTGATGTCTATTTTGGATATAAATTTTGGGTGTGGGTCAACAAGTTAACATGTCTATACCTCACCACACGCATTGTTTTCAAGCAAAGTGTTTTGGAACGTTTCATTTTCTGATGACCTGCGCAGGTCGCGGCCCATGCCCAGAAGTTGAACGAGGCCATTGAAAGCACCTAGGGAAAGATGAAGGCTTTGACCAACTAGCTTCCCTCCATCGTAGAAGATCCGGAGAAATTTGGCAGATTAAGTGCGATGTCCGTGATCGCCACTGCCACGGCAAGTCTTGCCAGACTTCTTATGAGACATGAGTCTCGCCTCGCGTTGATGATGGATGAAATATTAGATGACAGCGGTTTTCTGGGCTTGGTGAACTTGCATGGAAGTTCATTGCACGCGCGCATTTGCTGACTGAGAGAGAGAGAGAGAGGAAGACGTAGTGGAGAGATGTTTGAGGGATGTGGAGGGATATAGTTGATATATGCGCGAGAAAGGAGTTGAGGAATGCTTCAACAACATTGCTTGCGATATTCCTGCTGGCAATTGAGCGGCTCTTCTTGGCCAATGTTTTACTACTATTTTGACGGACTACTACCTACTAAAACATGATACTGCAACATGTTGGGCCCAATAAATCTTCAAACGCAGTGCATGGCAAACCAATTTCACTTTGTTTGTTATCGTGGAATACTATGCAACAGCAAGAATGGCCGCACCTCCAAATGCCAAAAGACAAAGAAAGGGAGGTATACGACAACGATTGGCTGCTAGCGCGGTCTGCGAGCAGGAGGAACAGAGTGCTCTATCAACAAGTATGCCAAGCAAACTCGCGCGCTACATTTTGAAAAAGTTTGCATGGGGTGAATACTCTGCACAGGAAGCCCAAGCCACTGCGCAGGCCAGCTTCAAGGATGTAAGGGCAATCCAAGAAGCCTGCATGGCTGCTCCTCCTACGACTGCAGGCGCATCAGCCTCATCGTCGTCGTGGCTTTTGACACCTCACGCCCACCCCATAGAGCAGGACTTGGAGTCTGTAGCCACCATTGGCGTGTCCGGTCAATACTCAAACAAGTGCTACTCTGACCTAATGAAGAAAGTCGAACCAAACATCAGTTTGCCACAGCCCCATCAGGTTCAGCTGAGGTTTGCTAACCCACTGGGAGAACGCATCCAGGAGATATTGCTTCCGCACGAGATGTTGGCTGCGATATATGAACACAAGGCTACGTGGGACAAGGTTATTCTACCGGACGAAGGCCTTCCACTCAAGTTCTGGCGCGCTCAAAAGAATGGGAAGCACCCACAGTGGTCCGGGCATCCACTCGAACATTTCGCTGACAGAGAGCTGGGGAAAGTAATTCCGCTCTCCCTCCACGGCGACGAAGTCCCCGTCACCGGTATAGGGAAGCAGTGGAGCAGAAAAATGGTCAACTTTAGCTGGCACTCCCTCCTTTCCACAACAGCTTCTGTGAGAGATTCACAGTTCTTCGTATGGGCATTTTTCGACAAAGCTGGCATCACTGAGGAGGGCGACACGGGGTATCGCACTCTAGACAAATTCTTTGATCTCCTGGCTTGGAGTTTCGAGTTCATGTTCAAGGGGATTCACCCCACTTGCAACGCACAGGGGGAACCGCAACTTGGACGACAAACAATACTTTATGTTTCAACAAGCTGGCGCAAACAACTTTCTCCATACTTCTCAAAAGTTTGATTTTGAACCACCCTCGTTGTTGTGTGTTTCCCTATTGGTTCCTTCACCAAACTCACTGGAAATCTCTCAAATTTGGGTTCCCTCAACATCATTCGACATCTCTCAAACTTTGGTTCTTCCCTCAAAATCACTGGACATCTCTCAAAATAGGGTCCCCTCAACATCGCCCGACATCTCCCAAATTTGGGTTCCCTGTTCCCTCAACATCACTCTACATCTCTCAAATTTGGGTTCCCTCAACATCACTCGACATCTCTCAACATTGCTTTCCCCCAACTCCCTGGACACTATTAGGTGGCCGCCTGGGAGCAAGCAGGCATTTAGATCTGGGCAGCCATTGGCTGCTGGGTACAAAGCTTGCCTTTGGGGCATAATTGGCGATTTAGATTATTTCGTTTCTATTCTGCGCCTTCCAAACTTCAATTCACAGCGACCTTGCTCACTCTGCCGCTGCTCATTGGCAGGAGCGAACAGTTGGAGCAACTTTACTCCATCAGCGCCTTGGAGGGGCCAGCTGTGGACCTATGCTACTTGGAGCGCTTGGGGCGGCAGAAGCAGATGCCCTCTGTTTGGTAGGCTCAGCCACTGCAGTGCGCTCACCGTGCACTTAGACTACATGCACTGTAAGTTCCTGGGAGTTGACCAGTATGTCTTCGGGTCGGTTTTGGCGCTATTGACCTGTGAGGTTATGCCTGGATCACCGCAGCAAAACCTTGATCTTTTGTGGTCTGAAATCAAACACCTCTACCACCAGCACAATACAAAGGTCAGGTACCGGTATTTGAACAAGTTGACGATGTTCCTTCGGCAAAACGGCACGCCCAAGCTCCGCGGCAAGGCCGGCGAAATTCGCCATTTTGCTGATATTATTGTGCATTTGTGGCAAAGACACATGTCTTCAGAGTTGCTTGTACACAAGCAAATTCATCTACTTCTGAAGCTTAGTGCGCGCATGGAGCAGCTCATCACGGACAACCGTGAGGAAATCGCGTTCCCTGCGCCTGAGGCCAGGAAGTTCGCCAAGGCATGTCAGGAGATGTTGAGCCTCCACGCTGTGTTGGCCAATCACTTTGCCGAAGAAGAGACTGACCTGTTCACCTTGACCAGCAAGTGTCACATGCTGCAGCACATTTCCTTGTTGGCTGGTTGCATCAACCCACGTTTAGTGTGGTGCTTTTCCGGCGAGGACATGCAAAACCGCGTGCAACAACTCGCACAGGCATCTGTCAAGGGCAACAACGCTGCGTCTGCAGTCAACAAGATCGTTCGCCACTACAGATTGGCAATGCAAATTGCTTTCATGGACCACGAAGATGAAATCTAGCTACAGGAAAAGAGTGATTCTTTTGGATTGTTGTGGAGACTTCTTGAGGAGTGTTTGGGATTGCTTTGGAGAGTTGTTGAGGGTTCTTTTGGATTCTTGTGGAGACTTCTCGAGGAGTGTTTTGGATTGTTTTGGAGAGTTGTTGAGGGATTCTTTTGGATTGTTGTGGAGACTTCATGAGGAGTGTTTTGGGTTGTTTTGGAGAGTTGTTGAGGGATTCTTTTGGATTGTTGTGGAAACTTCTTGAGGAGTCTTTTGGAAAGGCTTCGTGAGGAGTCTTTTGGATTGTTTTGGAGACTTCTTGCGTGAGGAGTGTTTTGGATTGTTTTGGAGAGTTGTTGAGGGTTCTTGTTGAATTCTTGTTGAGGGTTCTCCGTAACTTCTGTACAGAGTGTTTTGATACTGTTTGGGTACAGGTACCAGTGACGTTTGTTTGTTGGGTGACTTTTGTTTGTGGGTTTGTTCTCGAGGACCCTCATTGATGTGCCATTTATCACGCAGCTTAATCTGCTCACAAACATCTAGCACACGTTGAGATCTGAAGACACCCAGATTGGGTTTATCTGTATTCTTGCAATGGCTACTACGGAGCATGATCTGAAGAGGCCCAAGAAGACCGATGCGACTTGGCTTTTCAAGAAAAGAAGTCAAAGAAGTAAGAAGTAAGAACAGCCAAAAAAACATAGAAAACCCAATCTGTTGAGGACGACAACAAGGACGACAAGGACAACAATGACGACAACCAGGATGAGACCAAAAAAAGAGGTGAAAAACGCAAGCGTGAAGATTCACCAGTTGTCCGTGAGATTGACTTTGACAGGATTGTCGTCACCAATCTTGCTGGCCGATGCTACCATGAACACACATGCGCGTGTGTGACGCCCCCCAACCCACATATGATGGTGGGTGTCCAACTATGCATCCATTG